CTCCCTGTGTGTTGGCTGTTAAAGTTTTTGTGTTATTTTGTGTAAAATATGGTTTAATGGACACATCACATATTATGACAGACAAAAGATGCAATTATAAAATCTTTTTAATGAAAATAGTCTTTAAATATGACACTTTGATTTATCATCACTATCTGAAATGAAGATATTTGCAGTCAATGAGCTCACTGCAAACCTTTCAGGGCCTCAGCGAATAACTGACAGGACAGGTGTCTGCTGAGGACTGCTGTGTTGTTTGTGTTGTTGAAAGCAGAAGAAAGGTGGAGGCGTGTCTTCAGGAATGGCCTTAGATGTTGATGCAGTCAGAGGAAAGCAGTGTGAGGCCTCTAGCCGAATCCTTTACTCAACACCTTTCATGAACTCCAGGAACTCTGTCAGAGTGAATGCACATAGACAATTAGTACCATATACCATAGTCAAACTATTTGTGTTACAGCCCTAGTGTATGTGTGTGTGTATATACGTATATCCTGCAAGATGCTTCTCCAAATTCTCCAAGATGCTTAGAACAACCTTCTGCCAAGTACCTTAAAAAGCTGTGTACCTAGGAGATGTATGTATACCATACATGGGATATAAAATGTGTCATAAATTGATATTTCTGTTTAAATTTGCTTCTGTATTAATTTACCTTTGTATCAATTCCACAATTTATTTACTTTCACATTTAATTTTTCATTTTATTGCGTTTCATGTCCATTATCTAGAAACTCCATAAATCACAGAGTTGAGGCAGAGCAGCTGAAGGGAAAAACAGAAACTATTTCTTCCTTAAAAATGATTATTTTAGTAGACTCATAGTTGGAGCTTCTCTAACATTAAATCCCCCTGGCAATAAAGGCAAAAAGTTGCCTTAATGACACAGCTTGAATAACACCCCCATAATTTGCACAATAAAGCAAAAAGGCATACAGAAAGGTAAAAGCAGAAATAAATAAGTTTGATAAAATAAATGGTGGGGGGAGGCGGTGCTATGGGAAAATAATACAGAAAGAAAAAACACAAAGGTAAATAAATACGGACCTAAATTAAAACGGACGTATCAATTTATAACACATTTTATTAAAATAATTATTAATAATATCATAAACATGTATTTTAACATTATTTTCTGTGCATTTAA